ACAATGAAATTTGTAGGTCTTGAACTGACATCGTCAGGCAGGTGGCATTATAATAACAAGAACAATCTTTATAGCATTTCTAAAACAATCTTAATAGGTACAAAAATTATAAGCATAAGAAACCTGCGCTTAAACTGAAAAGAAAAAGAGCCATCATCTCACACACTTAAAAATATTTTCTCTCTCTTTTTTTTTTAAAAAAAAGGGAGGATTAAAAATTAAGTTAAAAATTTCGAATTAACGAAAACTTCGAAAATTCTTCCTGAAAGATTTTTTTATACCTTTAAAAGTTTTAAGTGTATAGTCGAAGCTTTTACTATGCTACAAAATTCATAAAATTTAGTCTTTTATATTTTCAATCTATAGAAACTGTGTATTATGTAAGAATTCCTTTCATACTTTGAATGTACTTGAAGTTCATAACTGAAAACTAAATGACAGAGTTATGTATGTCTATAACATAGATTCTCAAAATTGATGATATCTCACTTTGAGACAATAAGAAGACATGACGGTATGAAAGCACAGGCATATTTTAAGGTTATTCCTAATAAATGATTCAGATTTCAGAGACAATATGATAGTTTTGAATTTTAACAAATAACAACATCTATGTCTTATTTCTACAAATAAGACAACATATAAAATAAATATGCTGAAATTCATTCCTTTAAAGTAAGATAAGCCTTCTCAACAAAACAATTTTGGTAATGTGCATCCAAACATTTAAACGTATAACAGTGATGTCGAATAATAGGCATTATATTTTCAGTGTGATTGCATTAATGCTATTACAAATATTTTTGGTTATAATTTGAACATTTCTCTTTTGGAATTAAACGTAACCATTTTATGCTGAATAATTTTCTACATACTCTAATATACTTTTTACTAAACTTTATAAAACTAATTTTTCAAGAATCATACTGCTTTGAAATGTAATGAATATTGAAATGTCTAGTATAGTATTTAGCAAGAAGAATATTTATTTTTTTTATAAAAAAATACTTTTTATGTTACATTAATAGACGTACTATCTATTGATCAAATCTTTGAATATTGGGCGTGATAATTGTTAAGCGATATAAATAATAATAAATAATAATTTTTCGTTGGTTTGATTAGGAATCTCCCTCCCTCCCTCTCTCTTTACCTTTAATTTCTGAGAAGTTCTAAATTAATTGCTCTGTGAAACACAGTGAATTTCTAATTTGTTCAAATGAAAATAATTTTTGAAAATATTTAATATCTTTCCTCACATTTCTTCATTAATAATTCACAGCTTTATTTCTTATACTGATATTTATTTATTTTGTGAAGGATTATTTTTGAAAATTTAATACTCTCTCAAAGAAATTATAAAATCTGTCAACAAATCTCATAGAAAACTCGAAATCTATTTCAGATGATTTTGAGACGGTCATAAATGAAAAAAAAAAGTATTACACATATAAGTGTTAATTTTAATGTAACAAAATTGTATTTTATAGGAAAAAGCCCTTTCAAGATCCTTAACTGAGAATCACCAAGAAACCTGGTAACTTCTTTACTCAAATATGTAAAGGATTACATCAGTGTCGTTCAATTAGGTATTCAAACATAATATCTGTTAAAGAAACACCCATATTTTGCTTATTTTATTCTGAAAGACATTTTTTATTTTATTTTAAAATTTTACTAATTCAAAGTACTTGAATTACACCTAATTATATGTTATATAATGCTATACATTTAAAATACATAGTAAAATGTACTGCATGCCATGACAGAATATGTGTTGAATTATGTGTCCCAGAAGAACCCTGTTTTAAAATAAACACTTAAAAATGTGAAACTGCACAAGAAAATTAATGCATGTTTTATTCAGTATAAAGCATTTAAAGCAAAATAAATGACTTCTCTTGTGGAAAGCGAGAGTAATAAATAATTATGTTGGTGAAGTTTAAAAAATAAAATTTTTGGAAAAATTATAGCACATATGTTTTGAAAATGAATTAGGTTTGGTTACATTATTTTAAACCAAAAGGGTTCGTAACATTTCTTTTTTATGCATTGTTGTCTTCAAAACACAAATCCTTTATATAACTTTTTATGAACAGGAATTATAATTAAATTCATTAAAGTATATTCTTTTTAAACGTATTTTTAAAAAAATAAATAAATAAACATACACGGAATTAAGATATGTTATACCTCATTTATTTTAAAAACTGTTGTATGCATTTATAAAAAACAGTGCAGTTTAATTTTTATGTTGTAGAATTATATTTACTGTGAAATTTGATACATTTTTAAATTCCTCTCTACTATTAGTTCACTCTCTCCCTATATATATAGAGAAAGATAGATAGATAGATAGATATACATATATAAATCTTGTTCAAATTGCCAAACGTTAATAAAATACTTTCTATTCATCAATTCAAATTCAAATACATTTTTTTTAAACTTGTATTGGATGATACTTGATGTTAACCCTGCTGTTCTGTTTTTATTTACTACACGCATGTAGCGTTCTGGTCAATATGACCCGATTCAGAAAACTAACCTTTCTTGCCGTAAGACAGGTGCTATTGAAGAAAAAGTTGAAATAATAGTAATGTAATTTTGAAAATAGATCTAATAATATGAAGCATCTATAAAAATAACAGAAAAATATTTGAAATTGATACTTAAATAATAATATAAAACATCTATAAAGGTAACAGAAAAACATTCGAAATTAAAACTCATTTTTATTTACATTTGAACAGTAATATCTTACATGAGTTTTTCATATGTGATTCTTACACTTGTAGCATAACATTTTAGTTTTTTTATTATTACTAGATGAACACGAAGAGAGAGAGAGCTTGCACCTTGCATGTTTGATGCACAAATAAGTATTCTCGGCAGATCCTGATGGTGGCGTTCCCTTTTTCTTTATATTCATTTCACTATTTTTATTGATTCCTCACTTCTTGGTAGGTTTGGCCTTGCTTCAATGTATGGAAAAAATGAGAGATTTTCCCAGTTCTTCCCAAAATAGCCTTCGTTTTGTCAATTTGTTTTCATTCCAATCACTATGTATCGAAGTCCATAGATCAAATGCATTGTACGCAGAAGTATCAAGCAGGTTATAGAATACTATCATGGGTCAGTAATTTGTCTTTCTTTTACAAGTGTATTTGTTTAGAAGTTGATCAAGAGTATTCATAGCCCCTTTAGTTAAATTTTAATATAAGATCTTTACTGGTTATTTTATCAGTTCTGTTGCTAACTTCTTTGCCACGATACAAAGTGCTATTAAGAATAACATTATTGTTCTTTTTTGGTATTTAGTTTACAACTGTTATGTTTTTTGTAAAATAAAATAATGAACTGTGAACTTCTTTATTTGGCATTTCTTCCGGGAGTTCTGGTTTATTCTTTCTAATGGTGCCAAGCATAGTCATAGACAAAGCCCTAACTTTTAAGATGAAAACAAATTATCGCATGTAATATTGTGCCCCAAAACCCATAAATGAGATCACACAGTACTCGAATTCCTTGATTTTTCTCAGGCTTTGACCCTTATTCTTTTCCAGTGTAAATTTGTGTTTTCAGTACATACGAAGTTTTACTGTCACATAAAGTCCCTATTTTGATCCCATGTTTAGATGGCTTACTTGGTATATACTGTTTGAAAGAACATCGGTCACAAAATCCTAGTAATTGTTTATATATAGTAATATTGTCATTCGGATTATATAATTTTGAAAGAATTTCTACCCTTTTTCGCAGATATCTCGCACTGCAGTTAATTTACCTAATTTTCTTCTTTCTCGACGAGTATATTTATTAATAAAACGAATAACTCTAAATATGGTACAAAATGTTTCAAGGGACAGTGTTGCACGAAAGCTGTTTCTGCTTATTTCTTTATTCCATAAGCTTTTTGTTGATTCTCCATATGATTTATGAACACCAGTTAACAATAATAATCTAATATATGCTTTAAAAGTTTTACTTTCGATATTTTTTTACTTTTTTCCATAAAATCTTCTTCTTCAATATTAGTCATTTTATGATTTTGCTTTCAATTGTAGAATTGGATACCACTCAAATGCACTATTTTATATCTGTTACCCTAGCCGTTGCTTATCTTGTGACCCCTGAAGTAGTGTTTATAATAGTAGCAGCTGTTTATTGAGACGAATGGGGTAGTGGATTCAGCTTCCACTTTATTTCATGATTCTTGTACTGAATACTCTTTATAGTTCATTTGTTGATTATTGATATCAAAATCGATGTCAGAGCCTTCACTCTCAGTTTCAAAACTTGTATTATTTTCATACTCGGATACTTCTTCTCTGTCAGAAGCTTCTATTAGTTTAGCTATATCAGTGTGATTCAAATTTATGCGATTTGCAATTTATTTCTCTCCCATTCACAGGCGCAACTCCTTTAATGTATCAGAAAGTTAAATACACATCAGAAAAGTAAGAAACGTTGCAATAAAAGCAAGTAGTTTGGTCCCTTGCCAATCATAGCAAGTTTCTGACCTTGCACGTGCTCTCTGCTCATGTGACTCAGCACATACATCAATAAAACAAGTCTTGAAAACGTTAAACTAGAGAAAGTATTGCTATTATTTTCTTTTAATTTATTCTAAGTGAACGTGAACATATATATGAGCAAAAATAAATGAATTTTGCATTGTTCACATTGAACCGAACGACACATTAGGTGCAAATTGAAAAATATTTCTTTGAAATACAGATAAGCATACATCGCTCTGGTAGTTCAAACCCATATTGTTAATGTACGATGTCAAGATGTGTGTTTTATGAAATTATCCCTTTTCTATAATATTTTAAAACGTATAAATTTTATTTCGGGTCAAGAAAACCGGAACAAAACAGCAGGGCTAATACAGTTTTTTCGAATACTAATTCATTGATTAAATTGGAAAATGAATAAATAGTAACAAGCAAAATTGTAGTTCAACAGCACATGTAGAAAGGGAAGGCGTTCCTTGTGTCCCTGTAGCACATTGGATAGCGTGTTGGACTTCTAATACAAAGATAGTGGGTTCGAATTTCACCTGGGATGGCCTAATTTTCGAGAATAAGATTTCCTTTTTTACTGTACTATTTTATTAAAATAATTAAATTTAATTTATGAATAAATAGTAACAAATAAAAAAAATAATCCAATACCCTATATAGAAAGGAAAATGGAAAATTTCAAGGAAAATCGCTTCCTATTTTGTCACTTAATATTGTGATTCTGTCATATGTATATACATATTTATATTATTTGTAACTATTTAATAAAAAGTAACTAAAATAAAAATTTTCCTTGTTGACCTATGTAGATATTGACTTATTCTTTTTATTACTTGTTTCTTATATACTGAAGTTTAATAGTTTATTTGTCTAGTGTTAATGATAGAAAAACATGTGCGTGTATGCGTAGGTTAATTAAGATCTAATGTATGGTAAGTTCATATTTTCAAGAGCATGTTTTTAGCATTGTTATACATGCATTTCATTTTATTCAATATGAATAATTTAGAATACAAATATTTATTTGTTCATGTGTGAGGTATAAAATCACGCACACTAAGAAAAATATTAATTTAAAACTGGAACAAAACATTTTATTTTTAGAAAAAAATTATTAACTACACAAGTACATTGTAGACACGCTATAGTTCTTATTTTATATTTTTGTTTTGATCATTAATTTTCCGAAACAATCTCTATTGTATCCCTAATCTTTTATTCAATCTTTTTCAAGCAATACGTTTCTTTTTTCAGAATGAAGAGAAAAAAGATGCCTCTAATTTACACATAGTTTATCGACTAAATTTTGAGCTTGCTCAAAGGCGTTTACAAAGTAAAACAATCCTTGATGTAAAGTTTCTGAATAAGATTCTATACCCGATATGTTACTTAATTTGTTCTTTGAAACAAACAAAACACAAATTCACCTTTCTTGAACTTTTACGAATTTTCAGTCATATACACATTGCTATTTACATTGATTCAGTTTAAAAAAGAGACATTTCCTTTACGTACAATGATGTTTGATTTCTCATTGTAATGTAACATTAAAATAAAATGGTTATTTAAATGCCAAGTAAATATATATACATTTAAGAAAATTCCTACTTTAATTTTCCCTTTACATCAAAAACGCAAATTTATGAATAACGGATATGAATCATGTGAAACAATTTATTTTCTAATTCGGTGAAGTAATTTATCCGCAATGTAAGTTTGTTGTACTTTTTACTCAAAGATAATATGTTCTATATCTGAGATCTTAATAGATATGTGATGTATACTAAATTACACTGAAATAGAGATACTAAGAAGTAACCATAAAGTGAAGTAACTTGGAAAACAAATAGAAACAACAACGGGTCATAAGTGACGTTTATTTTGAACAGATACTCATAAAACGAAAAGTGAAAACAACATCAATTGAGGGATTATATCACTACCGCGGACGGTCATATACGAGGCAACACGTCAAGTTACAGAATCAATGAGAATACGCAAGGCATGAGGAAAGAATCTCCATTCCGTATCAATTATTTGCCACAGTTAATCATCAGAACACGGTGGTATTAGAGAATATAAACGGAAACCAATCATGCTCTCGTTGTGTTCAATTGGCGATAGATTAGTGGAAAATGTTGGCCATGGAATCATCTACGCATCTTGAAGAACACTTTAGCTAATATATTCAGTGTGTAGTTGCTGATAAAAAGTATTAGTGTAGCTGGTAAATGCCATTAGGCGCTCTCAAAGAAAGGAGAATATCATCGGCGCAACATGCACGAATCATTAGGTCGCCATCGTTTCTTTAATAGGAACCAGAGGTGATCAGTTATCGTACTCAATGGCTTCCCAAACCATGATGCTTTGTTGTTGTACGGCTGGAGTGTTTCACAGATGCTTTTGGGTAGGATTTTGGAACCACACAAGTACAGACTGACTGTCATTAGACTAACAGAAGCGTGACTTATCTAAGAACACTACTCTGTGCCATTTAGTCGTCCACGTTGCTCTAGCACCACATCATTACAAACGGAGTCATCTATGCTATGGGATTAATGCCAGTCTCCTAAGCGAATGTCATAGGAAGGTAACTAACAAATAAAAATTCTAATAGATATGGGGATGTCAAAAATACCATACGCATGCTGTAAAATGGTGTTAGCAGTGGCTTACGGGGTCTCCACTGCTTGTCTGTGGACGCATGCTAACGTCTTTATGGCCTCACCAGATCCAATCAAACTTGCCACATTTACTTTTTGCAACCATCTTTGCCACTGCCGGACAACCATTGACACATCCAGATAGCTGCTAGCTGACTGTATGGACCAACCTGTTGTTCTCAGCCCAATCATCATGTCGGTTGGAGCTGCCTCCAATGGCAGCTGCCTGGTATCCCTTGATATTACACGTGTCTTCTAAGGTAAAAAAAAAGATTCCACAATCATATCCTTGCTATAAATAATGGCATGAATACTGCCAACTTTGCAGATTCCTTTCCTTATATCCTACTCAACATGAGTCAGAAAGCAGCGAATTTTACATCATTTATATAACTGGGAGAGGTTTACCTGCCCTGAAACTTTCTTAAATTTCTGACCACTCGTTCTTATTGTTTCATTTTCAGTGTTGTGAGGAGTAAATGTTTTCGTTAGATACTAATTATAAAAAAAAGAATTGAAAATGATTGGTTTCAAAAATGTAAAACAAAGCGTACAATATAGAGTACAGCGTACTAATACTACGCTGGTAGATGAAACTAAGATAAATGTTCTAGAGCAGCATCCTGAATATGGACTCGAAAATGATAGGAAAAATACTACAAAATCTTCAAAATTTAGGAACATGGGGAATTTTTCCCCTTAAAATATATCCAAATGGCAAATAGAAACTTTATTCAAAAAGATTCAATCAAAGTTACACAGAAGTCCAAAACGACCATGTGACAGATGGGTATCCAAAAAAATCCAGCGTTTAGTACGTGATATTATCATCCCTGACTGTCATGCAGGATGTTCGCCGTCTCTTTTTTCTAATAACAGTGTTGTCTAGAAACTGCAGCAATATTGTTTCATATTTATTTTGTAGCAATAATCACTGATCCAAATTAATTACTGGTGGCTGGTGACTGGCTGCCAAGCATCTTCCTAAACAGACCCACATATTTTCAATCACAGAAAATTTGCCAGAAAACATATCATTTAATATTATTGACTCTCACTCTTCTACAACAACTATGCGATGAGTTGTAATATAGTTGTCCATGAAGTGAAGCTTAGAACCTAATGTGCGATCTAGAAAAATGCAAGTGATAAGGGCAATAGATACCAAGTAAAAGGTAACAGTGACTTAATCACCTTTTAAAGCTGTGAATGTATGAACGGGTCCCAAGAATGATCTTCCCGAATAAAAAATTTCTTTATTTGAAGCAGATTTATTAGGATAATGTCAGAGGAAATATTAAGTGGTTTCCACTCTCTCCTGAAGTGTATATCACTCAGAATAGCTAAATAGTAAAAATTATTTTCATCCGTTAAGGCTACTCGACTAAATTGCTATTATGTCCAGTGATTTTGTTCCATTTGTTTTGTCACAAAAAATATCGTGTCTGATGACCAGAATTAATTGATCAGAACTGATGACAAGACACCAGACAATATTTTCGTTATCGTGTAAAGGCATTAAAAATTTTGTAACTTTCTGACCTCGGTAAAACGAGATATCAACTGAACAGTAGCTTGTCGCATGTATCTTGCATTTTCCTCCGCTGTCTGCTGTTTGTTCCTTCTCGTCTTCAGAATGATGTTTCCATCATCTTTACTCAAATACAACCTATACTGAACCCTCGGAAAGCAGTTATTGCATATTGCATTTCGTAAGGTCTTTCAAACTAGCGAAGCGATGCTGTAAGTTAGAATCTCCAACCTTTTATGCCTAAGGGTCACATAAAAAAATTCACAAAAATCCGCTCGTCACATCAATAAGTTCACAAAGATACTCAAGCCACAAGACTGCCAAGAGTAGTGTAATCAAAAAAATTATATAAAAGAGAGGGTTTGTCTTATGAAACTATAGTTGTTTCTAAGTGAAGAGACGCTGTTAGAGATTTGTATATAAATATACAGTTGAACCTTTTTTTTGCGGTAGATAGGGACCGCATAAAAATAAACGCAAAAAAAAATATTCAAAAATTTCATAATTTTTTACACAACACAAACTAATTCGTGCAAATACTCCAAAAAAAATTATGCGGTGGATAGGGGACCCTAAAAACCCCATTTATAAATATACCAATTATTTAAAAATTTATGTAAACGTACCCATAAAAAAAATAAATAATTAAACATTACACAGGGAAACTTTTTAAAACTTTAAGTTTACCCTGATATACGGATGTCCTTAAAATCACATACATAATTCATCCTACTCATTGTAATCAAAGTCCTGTAATGAATAAGTTAAAAAATTTTCGCCTTGAAGGTAATTTAAATTGATTTATTTTTTTGAAACTAAAGTAAAAATAAGTTTTTTGACGAAGGATGGTGGTTAATTACTTGAAATGTCACGATAACCAGCAAAAACATGATTAATTTCCCTTTTTGGGGTTTTTACTACTTTTTTAAACGGTATCAATGTTTTTCCCTTTTTGTTGGAAAATTGATCCCCCATTTTTTTATCCTCTCTCAAATAATGCGGTTTTTGCCCTTTCTTCAATTATTGATAAATGTCACTGTTTGAAAGTTTCATCTTCAATAAAGCGCGGGCTGCTGGAGCGTTGAGAAAAAAGAACTGCGTGCGCATAGGGGAGCTATTTATAAAGAAATGAACAGTGCGTCTTAAGTGTCTTTTTTCGGTGGCTTTGGACACCTCCGAATCACAGGTGGACTCTGGAAAAACCCTGACTTCCCAAAAATACGCATTTCCCAAAATTTAAAAATAAAAAAGGAAAAACCTCTTTTTCGGGGTTTCTAACAATCACCACTGGTAAATAGATAAAAAAACGTTACAGTGCAGCCAAGGCCATTGAAATTCATACACCGCATA